CGAAGTAAGCAAAATTAGACAGTACTGCGATGACATTACAATTTAAATTCAACGTTTTAGCTTTTTCATATTCCTTTACATGTCACTAAGTTTAAATAGATTGACTTGGGACATTTTTTTCGTGGTTTTTGTATTAGACCCGTCGTCCATTTATTTGTAAGTCAATGTTATTTGAAGAAATTTGTTTCCAAAACTCCTTGAGCAGGTGAGGAGAAGAAATGTAACTTATCAATACTTATCGACTTGGATTATACTAGCGTAAGACTCATTATCTAATAAAACGGAGCGAAGAAGACCTATGTATCAGCAACAAATAGAAATTCGTGACCGTCAGGATGGCTGGACCAAACAAGACATACAAATCAAACTGTGGTCACTATTTACTATCTATTTTCTACTATTTAGCATCTTTATTGACATATTTTCTACGTTTGCGCTAATGGGAATATTAAAGAAATAAAGTGGCCAGCCATTCTGACGTCAGGTTGGCTGGACCACTTTACGTTTTTCATGGTTATAGCAATTATAATTTACTTTTTTTATAAAACTATTTATTACCTAATTTCTACCCAAACATACGTTTTTCATTATTTTAGGAAGCTACTATAAAAAGTAGTTATTTTAAAAAAAATAATAAAACGCCTTTGCAAAAGGTTTATCTTCTCCGTGTTATAAATTACTGATTATAATACGTTCGCATTCATTAATACCTACAAAGAAATTAACATTTGTAATAGTGAATCCAACTAGTAGTTAATTAACTGCCTCTTTGGCCAAACGGTTACCAACGACTGCCACGCAGAGGACCTGGTTTCGATTCCCGGGCCAGGAGAAATATTTGTATGCCCTACATTTATTTCTCTCGTGAATTTGGGTGTCGTTGTCTATGTGTGTGTGTCCATGGCACCCGCGACACAGGGTTTTCCTAGTGCGAGGCTATGAGTGTGTGCGCGTTTATTATAATTATTTATTTATTGCCCTAAAATATTGCTTGCAAAGATAATCCACAAACCATTGTTGGCATCACAGACCACATAAATACTAGTTTCTTCCGTGGTTAGCATATTCTATGTGCCTGCAAAATTATTGTTGGCAATTACACGGAGAAGATAAACTGCCTTTTTAGAAGATACTTTTGGCGTTTTATTATTATTTTAAATAAATTTTAAAGACACTTCCTAAAATAGTGAAAAAATGTATGTTTAGGTAGAATTTAGGTATATAGATTTTAAGACTTTCGTGGTTATTCACTAAATGATTATCACTAATATCAGGTTTCTTACCACGGTAGCGCAAGAGGGTAGACAGATATGTCTGCTCTTAAAGCTATCATCTGCCGCCGTCCAGTCAACCCGTGACCATGGAGCGTGCACCGTTCCGAAATATCGGGAAAATAAAAAGAAGTCATACCGCGGCAAGAAACCTGATATTAGTGATAATCATTTAGAATTAAGGTAGTAAATAGTTATATATAAAAAAAGTAAATTATACACTGCTAGAACTATGAAAACGTAAAGTGGTCCAGCCAACCTGACGTCAGAATGGATGACCACTTATATTTTACTTTTTTTTATATTTCTGTTAGCGCAAAGGTAGAAAATATGTCAATAATAATGAGCCCAGTATGATTTGTATATCTCGCTTGATCCAGCCATCCTGACGGACACATAGTACTTCGGTATCACGACTGCGAGATATTAAAATATCGAAAAATCTATTCGATGATAAGGCACCACTCTCCTACGTCCAGTTCAGTCCGATTCAATTACTTTAAATTAGTGATTCCTATTCAGTGATTCTAATTCATTGACTCCAATTCAGTGATTCCAATTCATTGATTCCAATTCAGTGATTGCAATTTTGTAACTTCAATTCAGTGACTCCAATTCCGTCACTATAATTTAATTGACTCAAAATTTTTATCCTAATTTGACAAATATAAAATATTTCTAAGGATTTCAATTGCTTAAATCTGTCATATAAGTGTAATTTTGAAGTTTATTGAATATCATACCATTGCTCCACTAGTTTATTGTAATTATTAATACAAAGATCGAACAGTTAGAAAAAATTCCTTCGATCCGGCTGGATTCGAACCAATGTCTTCCAGCAAACCGTACTAGACGCTATACCAACTAAGCCACGGAACGATCTAGCGGACTTTACGAATTTTTCTATGTGCTTGTTGCAGATCTAGTTTTTAACGACTTTCTTACCTGTCTGAGTGAAGAAATTATTTCTCACAGATGGTGCTACGGCAAAAAAGTCGTTAAAAATCAAAAACAATCTGCAACAAGCACATAGAAGAATTCGTGAGGTCCGCTACTTCGTTCCGTGGCTTGGTTGGTATAGCGTTTGACATGTTTTTTTTAATAAATAAATAAGTGCGCGTTTGACCAGATTAATCGTTTGAGAATTGAAACTCACAGAATCAACATCACTGTCTTCCCATAATGTTAATAAAGCTAACAAAAATACATCTTATTAAATTTTAACATACAGATAGTTTTAAAATAGACTCATTTATGTACCAACTTACTGAATATTTACATATGGCGTAATTATCTACTATGTTATATGTGTTCAATTATACATTGTCAGGATTCTTTTTAGCCGACCTAAAAAGGAAGAAGGTTCTCAATTCATTTGTTTTTTACACGATAACTCGATTTGTGTACCGATTTAATTGATTCTTTTTTTGTTGGTAAGAGGGTACCTCATTACTGATCCTGAAGAAAATATTCCACCTCTAAGGGTGGCAAGCTAGAGGATGAATCCGGTTTCGCACACTTTCCGGTAACCGATTGCAATAAAGCTTGGCAAATAGATGTAATTCCAAGAGCTTTTGAGGTCGAGTCTTTTTATAAAAATTTTACAATTATTTCGAGTTCTTAGGTTTTCGCGATTGTTACACATAGGAAATGAAACTATTTTTCCGGATTTAAATCGCGTATATGTTTTTTCAAACAAACCGACCGACGTTTCGGGCCCTTTACAGGTCCCATGGTCATGGTTGACAGTCAACCGTAACCATGGGACCTGTAAAGCGATTTAAATACGGAAAAATAGTTTCATTTCCTATTTACAATTATTGTTACATTGGTTTTATTTCAATCATAAGGACGGCATTACATACTTCATTAGTAGACAAGTTAACACGGAAGTTCTTAATATTCTAAATGTAAATACTATTAATAATGTTTTGCTTATCATGTTTACTTCGGTATGTATGTGCTTGTAAATGTATAGTACAACATATATTAGTCAGCTAACTAACATGCATCCGTTAGGGTAAATTCCGATAAGCCGAACACGTTAACTTATTTTAACTGTTTTAACAGAGAATATTGTGCTTCATCTTTTACTATTTTAAATGGATATTTGACCATTTGTCGCTTGGCCGCGTTTTGGTTAGTGTATGATGTACTCTGTAGTCTTTATTGCAAGTCATGTTATGATTTTGAATATTTTTTTTTGAACTTGATCTATTTAATTATTTTTTTACGGGATAATAATAATGTTGTTGTAAAAGAGCACTTTTTTAAATAAACGAAATTTTTTATGTTTTCTAGATTATGTATTAATTGTTCCGTCTATATTAATTGATCTACGGATAAATTATATAATGAACTGCATTCATGGTAACACCATGATTATGTTTAAGCATACTAAATTAATATTTGGTGTTCATAAATAATATATATTTGATCCTCTTTTTTTATTATTGGTCATGGCCAGGATATCTTAATATATCTTGGTTACTTGGTTGCACAAGCCGAGCAAGCGAAGCGAGCACGCCGCGGCAGCGGCCGGCGAGTGCCGGAAACCAATTTGCTTGCGTTTTCGAGTATGTATTCAGATCATATTATATTATAATTAGTGTACAAATATAATCAACATTTACTTAGTCTCAAAAATAAGATCTAAATATTATTTTTAATGATCATTTGTCTTGGTTTTTAGGCCCAATATAAAACAATTAAAGTTAATTTATACTAATCAAACATTTTATTGCGTAGCTCTGAACAGATTAAAATATGCATTGATTTAATTTATTTTATGTTTCAGAGAAAAAGGTTCAGTCATTAAAAAAGATGCCTGTTAGATTTGTTTGGCCTGCTACTTTTGCAAATTTTTCTAAGTACTATGCTTCGTATCAAGGCGTTGGCAATCAAATTTTAGTCGATTATTTATAACGTCATTGAGGTCTTGTTTGTAACCTCACATACCTTCAGTACGTAGTCTATTTAGAAACTGAACATACATAGTAAAACATCTGTTTGAAAGCCGTTTGGAAAGCAATTTCGGGACGCAGGTTCTGCGTAGTAGCTTGTGTTTGTGTATCCCGTTATGTGTATATTTGGTATTGTGCAATTTAAATTTTGCAATTATTATTATTATTACTCAATTTGATTATTTCCATGTCTAATCGTTGTATGTGTCTAATTTTATTTTATTTATTTAGTGTCTGGTTTCGTTATCTCTACAAATTAGTATATGATTTTTTTAAATTGCGGTGTTCTGTTTATTGCAGGCCAAAGCAGAATATAAGAGAGCCACGTAATTAGCATAGTCCTCAGATGCTGAGTCATGGACCTTTTCGACATGCCTTTTTGCTCATTTGTTTTAAATATTTTTAGTAGCAGCAGAGCTCCTTGTGAAAGAATTCGTCCAAGAAAGTACTGCCACCTTACCTACTTCTGCCACCAAGCAGTAATGTCAGCATTACTGTGTCCCGGTGTTGAAGGGTGCTGGTGAAATTACAGGCATATGGGATTTGTTAACTTATGTCTCAGGGTAACGGGTGCAGTGGGAATGCCCCTCTGATCTTTGCGATTTAAAGCTCTGAGTGGCACTGCAACTGTTATGGACAGGCGTGTAGCTTACCATCAGGCGCACGACTTGTTCGTCCCGTCACTTGATATTATAACAGAAAAAACTATTTTTTTATTATTATTGTTTTCCTCTGTTTTGTAATGTTGTCTTTTCTTATTTACAATTTGTATAAATTGTTTCTAATGTATTTTGCATGCACATGCCAAATAAAGACCATTTTATTTATTTATCTTTAAACTGTCCGCGTTAACTTGTCAAACTATAACAACTACAGTCTTCAGAAACTATAGTCCATTCACTAGTCACTATGTTAACTCAAAAGGCTCTGAGAACCCGTGATAGCTATAGATCCCTCCAAGAATGTACTTGTAGTTGCCAAAGTGGTGTATGCGGTATGTACCACGAGGTGTTCCTGCTGGAATCTCCCATTCTATATCCGCGAAACTTGTCCCCAAGATCTTGGAATCTCGACGCCAGATGAACCTGTCAGTAGTAACAACTTGTATCACAATGTTTCTGTATCAACTCATATACGTCTCACTGTTAGGCACGAACCTCTTCTGAGGAGAGGGTATAACCTGTAATTTGACTTTAACTTTGAAAGAAAGTAATTTTTAATAACCCAAGCTCATCAATATAAACGACTAACGGGTCCAGATGGGTATAGAATTGAACTCGTCATGGCAAGCTTTCTTTCAACTACGCTACCACTAGAACAAATATAATTTAAACCAATGATTCCCAGTGGAATATATTGACCCCCAGGGGTCCCCTTCACCATACACGGAGTTCATGTTAGCGAAATAGAGGGCTTGCATGACACTGTGTTAGTGGAACTCATTTAGGCAGGTCATGACCAAAATGTTGGTTTTCCGTAAATGGAATACAGATTGGTATATAAATACATAATACTTTCTTATAGTACACGTATAAATTATCTATGAAGTTAATTTTTTATTGAATTCATATTGAATTATTTTTTATATGAAATTGCTCCACTAGTTTGTTATAATTATTAATACAAAGATCGAACACTAAGAAAAAATCCTTCAATCCGGCCGGATTCGAACCGATGTCTTCTAGCAAACCGTGCCAGACGCTATGCCAACTAAGCCACGGAAGGAACCAGTGGACCTCACGAGTTTTTTTATGTACTTGTTGTCGTATCTTTTATCTATGAAGTTATTAAACGTTTCTCTACAAACAAGATATTCGGAAAGAGAAATGAATAAAACTAACATCAATTTGTTTTGTTTTTGTAAATTTTCTCACTAGCACTATGTCAGCTGTCAAAGACACATTTGAAGTTGATGATTCGTGAGAAATTCAGTATTAGTTACGAGACAAATAAAAATTTTGGGAACCATTGATTTAGACAGTAAGGTTAAATTTCATACTTGGCGGACTATGGCTTAAACCCACTCTTTAGGAAAGGCTCTTGTCCAGCAGTGGGATGTATAATGAGTTGAAAATGTAACGACGAAGCATGTAACAGAATTCATACTTAGTCTCCCAGTCAGCATCGGTGGCGTAAGTAACCCAAGAGTCATACTTTTCCGACTCTAGTTTCTCGACAATGGCGTACCAGCGGCCGTGCCGGAGGCCATTGCGAGGATGGCCTGCAATCTGATTAAATAGGATTTAATTAATCAACACTATACTCTTGCATCTTCCATGGATTCAACAGCAACTCCAATTTTATCTCTTTAGCAAATAAAAGTAATTCCACAAAATTATAAGGTCGGTTCTTTTTTGTAAAAAGGTATATTTATCGTATATCGGATACACCACATTTACCTAGGGGTCCCAACCAGTTATGACTCCACAAACGGTTCAAGGTGAATTCATTATTCAAATATAAACGAAAATCACAGCTCTCATGATTGATCTTCGCCTCGACATTGACGTCTTGCCAAGTACAGAGGTCTCTGCCTTTCAAACACTACATTAAATAGTCAAAAGTTTATTTCTCACAGGATCGAAAGGATTAATATGTGCTTTTCCCAACGATAGCTCGAATTTAAGCTCGAAAAGTGACTCACAAAAGAAACAGCGACGATGTCGCCGTAGCTGTACTGCCTCTGCGGCTGCTTGACGCAGTCACCAAACTCTTTGCCCCAGGGGTTTCCATCCCAAAGCACCGGCGGCACCAGGGTGATTAGCTGATCTTGGAAGTCGGGTGGCTCCGGGCCTGGGTGCAGGAACGTGTCCTGCCAACAGCCACTTGGAGTTACAGAGGCAAACAAGAGACAAACGATTAGTGAAGTGGCCGACTCCTTTCTTCCAAATCTGATCATCAGGGGTCTATTCCCATTCTCCGTCCGACATTCGTACGAAACTACTACTGTCAAATAAGTAATCCAAACCCTTGGATTTGGTATTTACCAGAAATACTCAATACGTTGGAGCTAGTTATTCCTCAAGAGCTCTCATGCCAAAAAAGTTTTGACGTTGACTCCGCTCAAATTTGTGAAATATATGCCTGAAGTTCGCGTGACATGCGACAGGAGATGTCGAATTTTGCGCATTAAAAGTACCAAATTCGTTTTAGCGGAATAAAACTAAAGGGATTAAAAAAAATCCGTAGTGACAGTTGTCGATCATGCATAAATATAATTAATTATCTAATTTTTGTCCTAATAACCTGTAGCATTTCGAGGATAAATCGAAAAAATGTGAAAATTAGAGGTCATTTCGTGATTTTTATCTATCGAGGAAACTTTATTGTTTTATGTTTCTGATTAATGTCTATGCTTGAATATATCGTGTAGTTACTTATACAATATTTTATTTCTAACTTTAAAGTAGATATACCCCTCTAAAATCAAATCGAGGATTAAGAATTTTTCCTCTGCTCGGTTTCGTGCCAGATTTTGGGAAGAAATTTGGATGAAAAGTGGCTTCCCAATTCACGGTCCGTATGTGTCCGAACTTTACAAATTCATAAGATAAGAGGATACAGTTACCTTCATTAAGGCCGTTGTAAGCTCAGCATATTTGTTTAGATAAATATCCAACGTGTGCGGCCCAAATATTGTTGACGCTGCTTCATACCTTTGCGCCTGAAATATTAGGCAGTAATTTAAAAGACAAAAAGTCAAATCGTGTTATTGACCTAATGGAATAACTTGTCTTCACGGTCCGTCGTTTTGATCAGTCTGATATCGGTTCGATAAGATCATCGCGACGACCGATCGAAATGATAATATTGATGATGATGGAATCGCCTTTAGTTGTCTTCTTGTCAGGTATTGTAATCTTAAATTCAAAAACTTCCAAATCTTTTAGAAACTCTTAAGAAAAAATGCCAGGGAACATTCACTCCCTGATAGAAACTATTGTTTGTACAGATCAGTTTAACTAGATTATGTTTATCGTCGAGATTCCTACTAGGAAATCTTGGAAATATGCTCGAGAAACTTAAATTGTTACGTTCCTAAGCCACTCTCGTACCTGATATTCTTCGGGTGTAGTAATATAATCCGAGTAAATATTAGACAATCCTGCTAGCACCACTTTCTTCGCTCCTGCGATCTTCGATACGACTTTCCTCAGTCTTCTCCCAGCCATTGTGGTGAATTCTCCAGGCACCGCAGCCAACAATAGATCTCCGATCTTTGCCACTGTGCAGGAAACTATATTGGGTTGCCATTCGTAGGGAAATTTCGCCTGGAACAATAATTATTTATGTTATCACAAACTATAATGTGATGTATGAGCGAAATCATAAAATATCTGTGTTGACTTGAGATAAATGCTAAATCTGTGAAAGAAAAACAATGGAAGCGGCTTAAGCCAAAACTCACACATTCTAATTTGAAACACTATACGATCTTGATAATGATTGGTGGTACTTTCAAATTTAAAAAAATTAAAAAATTGTGGACTGTTGACATATATTATAATTTAAACTTTACCCTGTTGGCATATTATTGAAACTTCTATACCATCAATAGCTATTATTGCAAATTACGACGTTTTGATTTTACATTAAATTTCAATGAAAGTGCTGTCATCTTGCGGTAAATAATTGAACGACAGACAACGACTTCGAGATGTGTACTCAGTTCTTCAAAAAAATAAGTGATCATATTGCAGCGGCATAAGGTTTACTTCCGTAAAAATTTATTAAAATTAAATAAAATAAAACTTAATGATAATATGAAACACCACCATAGATTATATTACAAGAGCGACTTATTATTTTTCCATCGGAAAGTAGCCAAATATTGCTACTTTCGAGTGTTTCTACGATTTTCGAGGTTTATCCATAACGTACAAAGCGGAAATGGCGGACTCAGCTCAAGTTTGCGGAACTCCGCAAATTAAGCATTTCTACTGTATTTATTGTTCTATGATAGAACTGGTTCTAACATTTAAGCAAAATACATTTTAATTTGCTAATATTTTTCTAATATTCAAACACAAAGCATCACAAAACTTACTCGTCCAGTAGCAAGTAGAATAGGTTTCGGCGCTTGGCATTTAATGTCCTCTTTAGTGGGTGCAGCGATGAAGTCTCTGACTGCATTCCAAAGAGGATTAGAAGTTGTGGTACCCTGAGTGAAGTTGAAGGCACCCGGACCATCTGTGGTACCTGCTGCAAAGCTATATCCCATGGCTGGAAGACAACCTGACACGCTGATACTCTGGAAGTTTCAAAAAGCTTTGTTATGTCATGGATGATTAGAAGACTTCTTAAATATTTAGCTTAGCAACCTTTGCCAGCAAAAAAAACTTCACGAGAATGAGTTGATACTCGTTAGACTGGATAGAGTTTTCAATGTGTTAGGATTTTTAGAAAGAATATAAAAAAACATCAAAAAATAAATCTCACCTTGTTGAATGTTTCAGAGACAGGGTCATAAGGATTAACGACTTCATCGGGCATCTTCACATACTGATGAACGATTCCTAGAGAACCAGAAAGGGTCTCGCCTGGTTCTTCCAAGACTCTCTGAAAAAATGGCAATGAGATTCATTAACAGTTCTGCTCATTGACTCAAAGTTCCTATATAGTAATCATCTGAACCAC